GTCCAAGATGTTTTGTTTTCTGTCGCTGCATCACATGTTAAATTTTGATTTCAAATGCTCAGGACCATCTCGTTTACAAAACTCACCATCTGCCCGCAAAAACGTAGTTCTTTTTCTTTTTTCTGCCCCCAGGTGGGGGAGTGGAAAACAGATGGAAGAAATCCAGAGGCTTTGAAGAGCCCTTAATCCCAAACTTTGTAAATAAGGGAGTGAGGGTTGGAAAAGGGGAAACACTGGGCAGCCTCTCTCTGAAGGCCAAACTTCTATCTCTGCCCTCCAGCCTTCAGCTCCCCTCAACTGCGGGGAAGGGCTTCCAGTGGCTGCCTAAGGGCAGTAAGGCAAAGACAAAGGGGCTCTCTTAACCTAAAGAACTCACTCCTTTTATTCCTGGATGGTTTCAGTTCTCTGGGCCCTCAGAAAAAAACTGCTGCATCAAAAAAGAAAAGAAAAGAAAGAAGAAAAAAACAAAAAAACCCTCAGCTACAATGAAAAGAGGCCTTGCCTCTGCTCTATGGTGCAGTCCAACTCACTTAAAAGCAGCCGTTCTCAAGCTCTTCTCTGCTCTCACTACTACCAGGCACAAACCACTGCTACTGTCACTCTCTCGCCTTCAGGAGCCAAATTCTGACCTGCCTCCTCAAGGCTGCCTCTGTGTCTCCCACCATCTTGACAAGCACTTGACTTGTAGAAAACCAGTGAACATCAAAACGAAGACCCCAATGAGCAGTCTGAAATAAAGGGGTGTCAACAGGTTTCATGGTATAAAACTGGGGGGCTAAGGGAAAATAAATTCCTTGAGAAAGGAATTCAATGCAAAAAGAGACACTAGGAGGTCAAAATGTTGGCTCCCATATTTACCAATGCTAAGAAAACGTATCTTCTGTATGTCTAGGTTTCTTCGGGTATACAAGTAGCATGATATACCTATTTCCCAGGTGGGTAAAAGAAGTGAGTGAAAATGGAAAGAGGAGCGATTTAAAAGTGTACTGTTAAGTGCCAAGTTTTTGTTTGGGTTTGTTCTTTTTTTATCTTAGGTTTTCCTGTCTCTTCAACAGAATCAAGCTACTTAAACAGCCCAATAGTTCTCCAAAGACATGTGCTTCCAGGTTGCTGGTCTGAAACCGACAGACCTCTGAAAAAAAGGTGCAAGGTCAGCAGTTTGAAACCACCAGTTGTTCTTTTGGAGAAAGAGGAGGCTTTCTACTCCTATAAAGAGTTACCGTCTCAGAAACTCACAAGGGCCTCTATAGCATGGCTAGGAGTCAGAATTTATTCCAAGGCAGTGAAGTCTGTTTGTTTGTTTGTTGTGCTATCAGTGTCTCCTGGTGGTGCAGAGTTTACTTTACCTCAAGGGTTTCAACCTAAGAGTTGGAGGCTCAAATCCACCTAGCAGTGCTTCTTCTTGGCAGTCTACTGTTTAAGAGTATATCGCCTTTAAACACGACATGGACTGTACTTTTATTCTGATACATGAGTCTGAATCAACTCAATGGCACTGGGTCTTGGTTTATGATTCAAGAAAGCAGAAGGGACCCCCAAATAAAACAAGCAACCTCAGAGAGAATTAGATGTTCCCTCTCTAAGTTGTTTAAGTCTCCAAATGGTGAAAACTAAACTGATAAGCAGAAATGTGGTAGACTTTTCTATGGCAAGCATCTGCCCATTTATTGATATCGTTAGATTCCAAAGACTAGACCCTAATGTGAAAATCAGCATTATGCAAAAATGGAAGATGATCACATCAAATCACAAAATGGAGGATGACTACACCATTGCCTGATTGTCAAATGACATCATCACTAAACTGTCAAATCACATCACTAGATAACTGCTGAATCACATCTCCTAACTGCTGAGCTACATCATTACACCTGACAACTCAAAAAACCAAACTCACTGCCACTGAGTTGATTCTGACTGATGGCGACCCTTATAGTGTAGGGTCCAGTTGCCTATAAGAGTTCCCAAGACTCTAACTCTTTACGGGAGTAGAAAGCACCATCTTTCTCCCAAAGAGCTGCTGGTCATTTTCAAATGCTGACTGTGTAGTTTGCAGTCCAATGTGTAGCCACTACGCCACCAGGGACGGCCGCCCAATTTGTAAGGACTATGGCACCAGGGCGCCCTATTCTTCTGTATATGCCTAGTCAAATATTCATTAAATGAAGAACGATCCTTAAGATCCTTCTTGAAATTTTGATAATGTTGTTATGCTTATCAAGCTTCCTTTCTTCTTCTTTTTTTTTCTGGTTAAAATGTTACAGTTTCTTCTCTGACTTTGAAAGCTTGGGGGGGACATTTTCCCTAAAAGAAAAGGACTTTTATTCTGCTATCCCCACCCCCTCAGGGTTACTGGGCTTCAGTGAAGTGTTGGGGCCAGTTTCTTGTTCTCTTTTTTTTTTCTTTTTTTCTTTTTAGTGAGAGAGTGAGAATGAGTGAATGAGTGAATTAGAGAGTGAGGGAGTGAGGGAGTGAGTGAGTGAGTAAGAGTGAGTGCGAGTGTGAGTGAGTGTGAGTGAGTGAGAGAGTGAATGAGAGTGAATCAGTGAGTGAGAGAGTGAGTGAGTGAGTGAGAGAGTGAGTGAGTGAATGAGATTGAGAGTGAGTGAGAGATGAGTGAGTGAGAGAGTGAGTGAGAGAGTGAGTGAGTGAGAGAGTGAGTGAGTGAGAGAGTGAGTGAGAGAGTGAGTGAGTGAGAGAGTGAGTGAGTGAGAGAGTGAGTGAGAGAGTGAGTGAGAGAGTGAGAGAGTGAGTGAGAGAGTGAGTGAGTGAGAGAGTGAGTGAG